CTGAGTTTACACTCCTCAAACTACTTAAGCACTGACCTGCTGTGGAATGGCTTCAGAATTTCCATATACCCCAAGGGCAGGGAATAAGTAAAAAGTAGCTGGGTAAAGAACAAATGACCTTATATTTTATAGGATGACCATGGTTAAGGGAAAGATGACCCCTTATTATAGGATAGACAGTCTTGGCCAGAAACTAAATGCAAGACATGTCAATACATATAATGTGTCACATGATGAGAGCTGAGGTAAAGCCAATTAGGAAAAAAGGGCCAAAAAGCCAAATTTGGGCCAAATTATAAATTCTAAGGTCACTAGTCACATTTTAGCAAGCCCCAGGGCAAGGAATCAAAGGGCCAGACCAGTCATGGCGGAGCAGAGGCTGGCAAGAATTCAGAGTAAAGAGCACAGATCCCACTGCCAAGAGGGGACATAAGTAAGCCCATTCTGCCCCATAGAGGCAGATGCCAATTTGAGAAGAGAAATTTAAATGAATTGAGCCTTGCACCCAGAGAGACAAACTTATCAAAAAAGACTGTTTAAACTTGAACATTCAGATATTTTTGATTGACTGTTAAAGTTACCCACACCCACATTCTCACTCTGTAAAAACACCCAGGGTTGTCCAACCTGTGACCCACAGGCTACACACAGCCCAAGTTGGCTATGAATGTGGCCCAACACAAAATCATAAATTTATTTAAAACATTATGATAGTTTTTTTGTGATTGTGTGTCACAAAATATTTAGTGTGGCCCAAGACAACTGTTCTTCTTCAAATGCGGTCCAGAGACACCAAAAGGTTGGACACCCCTGCTAGACCATCCACTTAGGAGTGTAGGAGCTCATGAAGTCTATTAGATTGATAAAAAAGTAAAGAAGCTGGTTGTTTGAGTAAATCTTTTACTATATAACACATGAATTTCACATGATGTCCTACAAAAAAGAAAGTTCATATACAAATATATTTGAAAATGTGAAAAATGTCCTCATTTTCTACAGATTCATGATTCATATTTGCATATTAAAGACTCTAAGATGCCCTATAGTATAGAAATCTGTACAGATGTTTTTTACTCCTGTTATAGCTTTATCTGATAACACTACTTTCCTAGACATTATTTCTGGTTACAGATCTCTTCTCCAGGCATAGGAATGAGTATTCATATTCGATGGCACAAGGATTAGTTTAGGAATGGGTATATGACCCAAGGTGATTCCATCACATCCTTCAATAGCATCTTTTATCTTGAGTTGAAGAGGCAGAGCCCTTTGTATTTACTGGCTACAAATACCAAGAATATAACTTTGGATCCTCCTATTGCCATTGTATGCAAGCTGTCCTGAAACAATATTCAGAGGGAAGCAGAAATAGACCAGAGAGATAGAAAAAGCAAGTGCGCTGAGGGATATAAACCCTTCCTGATTATAGTACTTTGATGAGATCAGACGCATTCAGGGTGGTATGGCCATAGACTTGATTATAATACTTTGAGCTGGAGTTTCTGTCACTTGCAAACAAAGAATGCAAATCAACAATAGGCCATTTAGGATTTTGGTTCTTTAGTTTTAGGGGTTTTTTAACTATTAACAAACCAAAGAATATATCTTTGAAATGCTGATATTTAACAATGTGATATCTAACTTTTAAAAATTTCTATAATAGGATCAAAGGCCTGTGTTACAAGCACAGAAAGGTGATCTCAAGTCTAAAGTAATAAACCTCCCACACCAGAAACAGGCGTAGTGCTATTTGTCTTAAAAATGCCATATTAATAAGAAATTTGAATCCAGGCATTTTTAAGTCTCCATCAGTGTCCTCCATTACTTCATCATTAATGGAAATGGCATAAAGCTCACTAAAAATTACTTCCAGAACTTGAAATGGATATTATACTGTTTAAGTAGATGTCATATAAAAATAATTTGCTTTAATCATAGCACAAACCATGGCTATGATGCCATACCCATTGTGAACCTTAGGGATTTCTTCATTTAAAGTAGAATGAATTTTGACTAGGCATAAGTGCTTTTTGCAAAAAAGTAAATCCACAAAACCCAAATACATTGAAAATGCAACCAGGTGTGGGTGCCTTTAAAAAAATAAATTATGCCAAGATATATTACCCAGCTGTGTTTTAGATTTCAAGAGATCTTAAGATACACTAAGGCATTAGGAGCTCGATAATACTCAAATTATATTTTCTTATGTCTTTTGCCACTAATTGAAAACTTATTTACAAGAAAACTGAAGACATAGCATTTTCCAGCTACATATATTTAATTTACTAAAATAATGTTACTTAGCAAAAATTTTTAAAGATATTCATTTAAGCTTTGATATGACTGTGGAATTTTTTAAAGTAACTTTTTTCTATAAAAAATATAAAAAATGACCATCATATATTTAAAATTCATCCTTACAGATACATAGTTTAGAGATATGCAGAAGGAACAAACTTTCCTCTGTCCTCAAGGTTTCTTTCTGCTGGTCTAATAATCAAATAGACAGAAGACAGATTAGCAAGAGAAAATAACCAAATTTAATACATATGTATGTATGGAATCCCGCATACATGAGAGAGTCAGAGACCTCACATGCAGCAGAGGTTCAGAGATAGGAAAGGGGATCTAGGCACAATATATAAGGCATTCTGATCTAGGGATGGGGTAAGATGCCTTGAGGGCTTCAAAGGGTCAGTGTAAGATGATGAGAACAGATGCTTAATAAGTAGGTTTATCTAGCCCTATAGATAGATGAAAAGAGCCACTCTAATAACCACTTATTATGAACAAGACCTCTAATTGAAGTTCTCACTGATTAAGGCAGGGCAGTGGTTCCTTGAGCCTGCTGCTAATGTTGCCCTTGGCTCAAAATAATCTGCAAACCACAGAGGCACATCTGGGGGTGACTTGTTCTGAACAAGCACAGTGAAAAGGCCTAGCGAGTCTGACAAAACCAGGTTCAAGCCTCATTCCTGCCAATTGAGGGGCTATATAACCTTAAGGAAGTTAGTGAACTTTTCAAAATCACATTAGCTGATCTGTAAAGTGGGTATGACAAGGCCGACTGTCAATAATGTTAAATGATATAAGTGAAACTGCTTAGTGCAAAGCAGGCATTCTTTCATCAACCTTCTACTGTAGAAGTAGAAATGATAGTACGTACTTTACCTTCCCTGGACAGTTATTTTTTCTAAGATTCTAATTGATTATTTTTGTGTAATATTTAAATTAACCTTGCCATAATGGTATATTCTAAAACATTTATGTAATTCTATAAATCATAAATATATAGCTAGCAATTTTAGAAAATATTTAGTAAGGGTCTATTAGGTTCCAATGAAAGAATCCATACTGAAGAATTCTTATAAGTGAGAGAATCTCACTTATATTATTGAGATTTCATAATATCTCAAGGACAAAAGGAATAACCAGAATATGAGATAAACTGGTTTAAGTGATTATGAATGAATGTGACTCCTCCTCCTTTTTGGTAAAATTCTCCAAGTGGGTTGATATTATCTCCCCTAAATATGAGGATGCCAAAGAAACATTGTCTAATATAGATATAAATTGAACCACAAATGTGGGCCAAATATGTAATTTAAAATTTTCCAGGAGCCACCTTTTAAAAAGCAGAATGTACCATAGTTGTTGTACATATTCATATACTGATGGACACTTGGGCCACTTCCATATCTTGCGATTGTATATAGTGCTGCAATAAATATAGGGGCGCTTATATGTTCTTTCAAGTTAGTGTTTTGGGTTTCTTTGGATAAATTCCCAGAAGTAGGATCACTGGGTCATAAGGCAATTCCGTGTTTTAATTTCTGAGATAACTCCTTCCTGCTTTCACAGGGGCTGCACTAGTCTGCATTCCCACCAGCAGAGCAACATGGTTCCCCTTTCTCCACAGCCTCACCAGGACTATTTGTTTGTTTATTTGTTGATGATGGCCATTCTGACTGGTGTGAGGTAATAGTTCATTTTGCTTGTAATTTGCTTTTTATTCAGGCCCTTTACTCATTTTTTAAATCGGCTTGTTGGTTTTTCTGGTGTTGAGTGTTATAAGTTCTTTATGAATTTTGGATATTAACCCCTTATCAGATGTTACACAATGAAATACTATTCATCTGTAAAAATGTAAAAAAATTTTACCCATTGTGACATCATGGATGGACCTGGGGAATATTTTGCTAAGTGAAATAAGCCAGTCGGCGAAAGAAAAATAGCAAATGATCTCACTCATATGTAGAATCTAATGAATGAACTGAACAAACAAAACACAGACTTAGATAGAGAGCAGGCTGACAGCTCTAGGGAGGCTGTTCAGGGGTGGCTGGATCGGGCAAAAAGGAAAAAGAGCTCATGGATGTGGTGATTGCAGTGGGGAGGGAGTATAAGGGGATAAATTGTAATGGAAAAAATATAATAAAATTATTTAAAAATAAAAAGCAAAATGTAAAAGCAATCTGAGTAAAATTTTCTAAATATTAAATATAATATTAAATATGAACCCTATATGTTTAAATATTATTTTTAGAAAAAGAAAAATGAGCAACTTTTAATTTTTATTTAACATCAAAACAGATTTAGTAATACCTGTGAAAAACAGAATATATTGTAACCACTTAGATTTTTCACGTTATTGACAGGAAAATTTCAGTAAGAAACTTGGCACACTGATTTTCATCTGCTAACTGTTATTATCTGGTATATAATAATAATTAGTTAAGTTGGGAGAATAATAGGGAAAGGCAAGAAAGGAAAGCAAGAGGCTGTCAGATGCGTTATTTCCATAGTTAGGCCCTTGGTAAGCTTTTTCCTGAGAATAGCTGGGAGCCATTGAGGGTTATTTAGCAAGAGAATGTAATCGTCACTTTGGTTGCTAGTGTCAAAGGGGAAACATTGCTCAATGCCTGCTTAGCCCTTAAACCCTAGCCAGCTCTGTCCCTGAGTTCCATAGCCCCTGTGTAATACTGTCTATCCTTAAGCTGTCAGGCATGAGGAGACAGGGAGTATCCAAAGATAGGGGCTCCGAAGGAGTGGTTCTTGCTACCCTCTGTCCCCAGCCCACCAGCCCCAGAAAGAATGCAATTGTCATCAATGAAGCCATCATCATCCTCACTTTCACCCATCTCTGAACAGAGGCCCTTCCTTGTTTCTGGCAGCCTGGGGTACTGGTGGCTGGTGAAGTATTTGTGGCAGAGGTGGCATTTGGCAGCAGGTGCAATGAGGACAGGAAAAACCACAGCTCCAAGCACAACCCCCACTAGCACAGGAAGTGCTTGGGCCCAGCTGCCTGGTCCAGAGGATACGGCTGGTGCTGTGGGGAGTTCTGAGGGCCCCACAATGATTTGGTTTGTCTCACTCATAGAGTAGCTGGAAGACACCCGTAAGCCTAGGGCTCAACCAGAGGAGCCCTAGCTCCAAGGAGATCCCCAGTTGCCAGGTAGCCCTGGGACACAGATCCTGTTGGAGGACCAGCTAGAGTGGGAGATTATCTAAATCAGAGGAGTACCTGGTGAGGAGTATCCAGGGTAAGAAAGAACCTGTTCCCTGGGACTGCCAGAAAGCTCGGCACTTGGGGATGCAGTGCAAGCCTGTGAGCTGAGGGAGGGAGGGAGGGAGCTCTAAGAACTGTTGTACAAGCCAGTGGAGAGAGCTTCTGGCTGGGTTATTATTTCTTATTTAATACCCAAGAACCTTTTTTTTTTCATTGCATTTAGAGAGAGAGGAAGGGAAAGAGGAATGGAGAGAAACATCAATTGGTTTCCTCCTGTCTGAACTGGGATCGTATACCCCCTGACCCGGATTCAACTCGACAAAGTTAGTGCCTTGACTGGGAATCAAGCCCACAGCTTTTCAGTTACAGAATGACATTCCAGCCAATGAAGCCGCACTGGCCAGGGCTAAAATATAATTATTTCCTTATGCAATCTACATAAAAACTATTAATGAGATGCTTTATTTTAGAAGAGGGACTAAATCTTTAAAACCTTGTATGTTTTGCACTTATAGCCCATTTCAATTCAGACTAGCTAAATTTAAAGTGCTGATAGCCACATACTTTTGCAGCTACAGCCTTAAACATCACAATGTAGAGTATGGGTATATCACTCAATTATAGCCAAATACATGCTTCCCACCCAGGAATTTGCATCTTTGGAAAGTGGTGTAATGCCTTGGTTAATTATAATTTATTCACTATGGCTGCAGTGAAGTTCAGTCCAGTGGCATGGAGTAGGGTGTGCTGTGGTGGCAGTGTGCATGGCCACCACAGCCAGTCACTGTGTCCTAGGCTGTCACTCTTTCAGCATGATATCCCGCATTCCTGGTTATTTCTTAACATGTATGTCATCTTCATAATAACATTCCAATTATTTTTCCTATTATATGAAGGAGAACAGGTAATTTTATTTGCAATGAGGAACAGAGATGTTTTGGAGCAACAAAATTAGAGAATTGAAAAGGTATAAAGTTCTATGGAAGTTTGGAGATACATACCACAGACAATGAGTCAGGCCTGAGGATAAATTTTAAGCATAGACAGGAGTTAAATAGTGGATATGAGTTAAAATTATCTACTTCTGCCCTTTATTATTATTTTTTAATATACATTTTATTGATTATGCTATTACACTTTTCCCATTGTCTCCCCCTTATTCTCCTCTGCCCTGCACACCCCCTCCCACCCACATTCCCACCCCCCTTTAGTTCATGTCCATGAGTTGTACCATAAGCTCTTTAGCTTCTACATTTCCTCTACTATTCTTAACCTCCCCCTGTCTGTTTTCTACCTACCATTTATACTTCTTATTCTCTGTACCTTTTCCCCCTCTTTCCTTCTCCCACTCCCCCACTGATAACCCTCCATGTGATCTCTACTTCTGTGATTCTGTTCTAGTTGTTTGCTTAGGTTGATTTTGTTTTTTGGGTTTGGTTTTTAATAGCTGTGAGTTCTTTGTCATTTTACTGTTCATAGTTTTTATCTTTTTTTCTTAGATAAGTCCCTTTAACATTTTGTATAATAAGGGCTTGGTGATGATGAACTCCTTTAACTTGACCTTAATCTGGAAAGCACTTTATGTGCCTTTCTATTCTGAATGATAGCTTTGCTGGATAGAGCAATCTTAGATGTGGGTCTTTGCCTTTCATGACTTTGAATACTTCTTTCCAGCCTCTTCTTGCCTGCAAGGTTTCTTTTAAGAAATTGGCTGATAGTCTAATGGAACTCCTTTTTAGGAAACTATCTCCTTTTCTCTTGTTGCTTTTAAGATTTTCTCCTGATTTTAAATCTTGGCTAATATAATGATGATGGGCCTTGGTGTGTTCCTTCTTGGGTCCCACTTCTTTAAGACTCTCTGAGCTTCCTGGATTTCCTGAAGTCTATTTCCTTTGCCAGATTGGGGAAGTTCTCCTGCATTATTTTTTCAAATAACTTTTCTACTTGCTCTTCCTCTTCTCCTTCTGGTACCCCTGTGATTCGAATGTTGGAACGTTATAAGATGTCCTAGAGGTTCCTAAGCCTTTCCTCATTCTTTGAACTCTTGTTTCTTCATTCTATTGTGGTTGAATGTTTCTTTCTTCCTTCTGCTCCAAACCATTGATTTGAGTCCTGGTTTCCTTCCCATCACTGTTGGTTTCCTATACATTTTCCTTTATTTCACTTTTCATAGCCTTCATTTTTTTCCTCTAACTTGCAACCATATTCAACCAACTCTGTGAACATCCTGATTATCAGTGTTTTGAACTCTGCATCTGCTAGATTGGCTATCTCTTCATTGCTTCGTTGTATTTTTTCTGGAGTTTTGATCTATTCTTTCATTTGGGCCATATTTTTTTCTACTGGCATGCCTGCTACATATAAGCGGCAGAGTCTTAGGTGTTCACTAGGGTGGGGAAACCCACGTGGCTTCCTTATGATGCTGTAAGTGGGGAAGGGGTCAAGAGGGAACAGTGCTGCTTGCTCAACTCTCTGCTTCAGCTACCCCACAATCAAATTGGGCCCTTCTGATTCTTATTCTTGGGGGGGGGAGGTTGCGTATATCCTAGGACTCTGTGGGTCTCTCCAATGAACTCTCCTGTGAGTCTGGGAGTTTCTTCTGCTGCTGCCTCAACCCCCCACAGGTGTTTTTAGTCAGAGGCTTTGATGCTTTATTTCCTTCACTGGACCCTGGGTTGCGTGGTTTTGTCTTGCTCCTCAGTCATTCCTCCCAGTTTATCGGCACATGAATGTGGGACCACCCAGTCTGCAAGCCACCACCTCTCCTGGTCCTTTAGACACCACCTGGCCTCCAGTCCTCTCCATCCAGCTGCCTGTCTCTGACCCTCCTACTAGTCTACATGAATATTTCTTCTTCTTAGTTGTCAGACTTCCATACAGTTCAATTTTCTGTCAGTTCTGGCTGTTTTTTGTTTTTAAATTTGGTGCTGTCCTTCTTTTGGTTGTGCGAGGAGGTACAGTGTGTTTACCTATGCCTCCATCTTGGCTGGAAGTCCTTATTATTATTCTTATTTAATGGAAGAAACAATCAAGATCTAGAAAGTTAAAGAATCAAGAGACATTAAGACCGATTCAGCCCTGATATCAATTATTTGGGAAGAACACTTAATTTCTCCAGATATAATCTTATTCTCATCCTTAAAGTGAGTGGATTGGATTAAATTATATGACTTCAAAGACTCTATGTAATGTTAACAAGTTGACCATAGGGCAAATGATTTTTAAATGAATGCACATAGAGGCAGATGATGATAGATGATGATGAAGATAGATAGATAGATAGATAGATGATAGTTTATAGAGAAAGGAATAAAAATAAGAAAAATATGCTCAATTAATAACTTACTTAGCAACTTGGTTTTCCTCAAAGGGAAAACTCATCTTTCTAAAAAAAAATATGTAGATAACCATTTTAGGTTGAGAGAGATTAAATTCCTAAAATTATACTGAGTAAAATAATGCTATCGCTAAGTTGCTCTGTTTCATAAAACTGTGAAATTTTTTAATTTACAGATAAAATTATACGTGTTCTCTTGGTGGAGAGGGGAGGAATCCGGGAGCCTGGTATTGTATATGGTAGGACTGGGGGTGGGGGAATTCCCTAGGAAGACAAAGGAAAGGACAAATCAGGGTCATGTCAAGTGAGGATGTTTCAAAATAAGTGCCCTGTGCTCTGCAATGGAAGCCCTCTCGAGAACCTTCACAGCTGTTACTCCCAGTTAATGGGGCAGTGTTCTGTTCTCTGCTTAGTAAGAGTCTAGAAAAGTACCAGGACATATAAACCAGAAAATAACCCAGTATTTCAGAGTAAACATCCAGTTAACCTTTGTCAAAGTAAATGATAATAAACGTACAGCATCTTTATAATTCAAAACACCTCCAGTGTTTTAATTCATCAAATTGACTCATCTGGAATATCAGGTTTTGAGATTTGTTAATATGATTTAGTTAAAAACTCAACTAAGGAAAATGCTCATAGATCAAATATATTCCTTATTTTATAATTTTACAGTACCCAAATATTTTCCTAGCCCAAATGTTTGGCAATTTCAAGCCTAAAGATTCAAAACGTGCTTGACCATTGTGCTTTAGCATTAACACATGTATCACTATTAAATAATCATAGAAATCAATTATCCTAATTTTTATTTTATAACTTGGAAGTGTTTAGAGTTTTAACTGCGCATCTTATAAGGTTTCATTCTGTTTGGGCTGAATTGTGCCATTGTAAAATCCATTCCATTGAAGCCCCCTACCCCTGATACTTCAGGATGTAGCCATAGATGGAGATAAGTTGTTTAAAATAGTTACTAAGTTAAAACGACGGTGTTAGGGCAACACCCTCATCCAAAAGGACTGCTGTTTTATAAGAAGAGGAAGAAAGAGCAGAGGCCTGCGCACAAAGGGAAAGGCCAGGTGAGGACACAGTGAAGTGAAAGCCACCTGCAAGCCAAGAAGAGCAGCCCTAGAAAAACCAAATCTGCCTGCAGCACATTGATCTTGAAGTATCGGCTTCCAGAAACTATCTCTTTGCTTAAGCCACCCAGTCTGTGGTGCTTTTTTTATGGCAGCCCTAGCAAAACTAACACACATTTAATATTTTTGTTCTGTATTTTGAAATCTATACCTGAGCTAGGTGAAGAAAGTTCCTAGTAATGACACTAATAAGAATACAATGGGAGAATAAGTAAAAGTGGAAAAAGTTTACTATTGAGACTTGCTATAATGGCTCACTTAGAAAAATGTGAGACCCAACATCAAGATCATTGATCTCTGTGGGGCAGACAAGGGTGGGGCCTGATGAGATGTATGCCTGTGAGAAGTGTAGATTCCACATACTTTATTGTTTCCCTAAAATAAAGGATGGTA